AAAACAATTTTCTTTGGTGTAGTTTTTATAGGTTACTATAAAAACTACGTTACGTACGTACGTACTGTACGTTAGTTTAGTACATCATATGTTTTTTTTAGATTTTTCATTTTCTTATTTTAGAAGTTAGAGGGGGGCAACTTTTTTCCACTTTGGAAGCGTCTGTCACGCAAACTATTCGATTTAGAAAAAAAAAATTAGAAACCTCGATATCATTTTTGAAGACCTATCCATAGTAGGTACCCGTATGTTAGATAAAAAAAAATTTTTTGAGTTCAATTCTAACTTCTAAGTATATGGGAGCCCCCAATATTTATTATATTTTTTTTATTTTTGCATCAAAATCTTAATGCTGTTCACAGAATACATCTACCTACCAAGTTTCAACAGTATAGCTCTTATAGTTTCGGAAAAAAATGGCTGTGACATACAGACGGACAGACAGACATGACGAATCTATAAGGGTTCCGTTTTTTGCCATTTGGCTACGGAACCCTAAAAAAGAGGAATAAATTCCATGCGCGATACAAGCTTTCGAAATTATTTGAACCTTGCATACAATTTTTTTTTTTCCTTTTATTATCATGTGTTAACGGATTAACGATTAACGTTAACTTGCGTTAAATCTTGTGAAATGTAACGTTTTAACGATTAACGAAGTTAATTTTTTTATTAACGGTTTAACGATTAACGAAGTTAACTATTTGATTAACGGTGCCCAGCTATGCGAATGTAGTTGTCTACTCACGGACATTACTCACGGACGCGGGCGGCGTGACCGGAGGGAGCGGTGAGCGTTCGGCGAACGGACGAGCAATGTTCGGTTCGCGAGCGAACATCGAAGAAGACGATCCTGACGCACTCTCTTCAACGACTTTGCACTAAACGGTCTCGATATTATTGTAAAATACCGAATAGACAATTAATTTTATACAGTCCACTCTTTTTATTTATGAACTTCTACTACACTCACTATCGAAGTAACAGTAGTCTAATGCCCGTTTTCACCATCAATCTCTAATTTTTAAGTGACCCCTATGTAAATAAAATTCCTGTTATGTGTTACCATAGAGATCACTTAAAATTTGGGATCGATGGTGAAAACGGGCATAAATCCTCTTGTCAGTAAATTAGAGAGTCGCGCGCTCCTCAGTGGAGAGCAAAATGACCTTTTTCTATCCAGGGAAATGGCCTATCCATACCTACCGCCTGGGGACGGCAGGTTATGTGGGGCTCGAACTCACTAAAACCTGGGGTGTTCCCTCTGCCGCATAGTGGTCGGCGCCTTGGGTACTAGAAACGACCAAGGCGCCTTCCGCGGACGTCCCGCCCTACACAGCGGGACCCATCATGCCCTCACTTAAGGGCCGAAGGTCAAAATGACCTGATGATGTTGAACAATAATTTTAATGTGATTAGAGACCTTTGGACCTATAATACACACCACAACTAAATATGGTTTATTCGTCATACCTGAGCACAGGGTGTATGTATATGTACCTACCTCTCCTTCGTACTTACATTATACCCTTTACTACATAAACTTTATTGGTAAACGGTTACCGTTCGCTTACGGAACCTGAAACTTTGGAAGAGAAATAATTAACCTGAGCCTTTCGTTCAGCGATGGAAACTTTTCTCATACGCATGTTGGAACGTTTTACCGAATAAGAAGTATTTGATTGAAACCCACCACTAGGTCATAGCCCAACATTAACAGTGGCAGTGACATTATAGCGATAAAAAGATGATGAATCAACTTTAAATTTTAGCGTAGTTTTTCCTAATATACCTAAATCGTTTCGTTCCAATTTGGTATTAGGTAGATGGTGTACAGTAAAGTATACAGGGTGAACCAAAAATGATTGCAAATAGCAACACTTGATTACTCGAAAACTATGAATAATTTCATGAATTTTTGTCACTATGGAACATTTCACGGGAAATCGCGTGCTTTTAGTGTATATTTTTGGCCTACCTTGTACTTATTATCCTATACTTAATAGTAAACTAAATAACAAACGTCAGAGTCAGAATCAGGTAGATACCAGTCTAATATACTGTAAAAACAGCATAAATCAAATAAAACTCTTAAAATATGCTCTTCTCCAGTCAAAACGAAACGGAACGTCATGATTTGAGAGTTTGACAATATTCTTCAGTGATGTAATTAAATTAAATAATAGGCTGATCCCGTCAAGCTGTGACTAGGCGCAGAATTTTACTAAACATGGCTACTAAGATATTTCGGGACCACAATCGTACAATTCTAAACAAATAACCCAAATTGTTTAACCGATTTCACCTGTGTTGTCTATTTATCCGTGAAGCCCAGAACTCGTCTATATTTGATTACCAACTAGCTTATTTTAACTTACTTGTAGGTAGGTACTAAGTACAAGGGAGAAAATGTAATCATTTTGAATACACTTTATTTGTTATTTAGCAAAGATAGTGGTTCAAAACAAACAATTCAGTAAACAGAATTGAAAACCGGAATTAGACATCTCGTAGTAGGTATTTAAGAATGATAGTAGTACTATCATAGTAGGTATTAAGTTTAACCCTGTGGCATCTTATACATATAAAGATTTAATTAATTAATAATGGCCGTTTTGCAACAAAAATGTATAAATCCATGACGTGTCGACTATATCAAATAAAATGTCCATAACTTTGATCACCAAAACGTGACACGCGACTGTTTAAAAAGGGCCCGGTGTTGCCACGCTCAACGATTTCGGATTAAAATTTCATCAAACTTCATCTTGTAATATTTTCTGTAAACAGGCCAAAAATCACACGAGCACCCGAGCGACCGCATTTGCTGTAAACAAACAAATTTAATTACACGGGCAACCCTTATGTTGGGATTCAAACCAAATAACGTTTGACCCAGCATAATAAATACGCTATAATTTAACGATTGGATAAATCGGAATATTACGTTAGCGATTGCCGTCACGTACACGTAACGATTTTTGTGCATCGCGACCGGCAAATAATGCAAATATACACGATGTAAGCCCCGATATATTTGTTATTGGATTTAGGATCGTTTGATATTGGATTGTAGCTTTGGAAAATGTTTAGGTATTTTTTGGGTTGGCTTGAAATTCTGGACAATAGTTTTGAACTAGTTTTTAGAAAGATATTTTATGTAGGTGTAGAGGTATTATTGTTGTGAATTTGAGTTTCCCGACTCAGTGGGTTTGTGATTGTTGTAGATAAAGTAAGGATACTGAATAAAAAGGCTTTTCTAGGAAGGTTATACACGGTTACGGCTATAATTTATGAATAATAATAAAGGTAGGTATAATAAGTCGGAAAGGTAAAATAAGTTTCAAAAGTTTAGCTTGTGCTTTATGTTAATAGTTACCGATAGGTACCCAAAAATATAGAGTGAAAGAGTTCTATCTACTATCAACATCTTTTTTAAAGACCACACAACATACCAAGCAAGTGAGCGCCTTCCCGCAAGCAAAACTAGGTCATCAGTTCACTAGGAGGACTCTAAAAACACTTTTATACAATTTTAATGTGCTGAAAGATAACCACCTCGGTCGTTACGTTTTGAGAAATGTAGCTGAATTGACGAAACCTAAAATTTTAAAAGCGCATATTTTTTTTGACAAAAATAACAATAGTCGATTTGTCAAACCACTAACGTAATTATTAAATTCATTGTCAATCTTATAAATTGGGAACAAATTGTACCTGTTCTGATAAAATATGAAATGAACTGGACGGGCGTGTTTAACGAACTGAATAATATTGTGTCTCTTTGCTCTTTTGCTGAGCAAATCGCATTTTAATATCATTAATTTGTTGACATTATTTCATATGTCAGAGGGAAATGTTGAGATTTATAAATATATATCAGAACTCTGTTAGTAGAGAAAGCTACTTGATTGATTTTTATAATTAAATTATCATACATTTCTGAGGATATTTCTAAATATATATAATTCAAAGGTGACTGACTGACTGACTGACATAGTGATCTATCAACGAACAGCTCAAACCACTGGAAGGATCGGGCTGAAATTTGGCATGCAGGTAGATGTTATGACGTAGGCATCCGCTAAGTAAAGATTTTACGAAACTCCACTCCATAAGGGGGTAAAACGGGATTCACGTGTACGAAGTCGCGGGCAGCCGCTAGTTGAGCCTATAAAAGAGTAACTATAAATACTATTCTGACTTTCTTGAAAAATATGAACATGAAATATCACTAATTACATAACTAAAAAGCTATCATTAGTTGTAATTGAAGACCTAGTGCGAGTAAATGGCGCCAACTTGAAAAAAAAACTAGATTTTTGTAATGATAAGTATAAGCCGTTTTAAGTACCCATATTGTCACAAGTATCATATAAAAATAAATAAAAATAGTTGACCTACCTAGTACCTACACAATTATAAAGTATTATTAAAAAAGAAACAAACAAGTTTTACGTATTTTTATTTTTTTAATACGTTATAATTGCCCCTAAGTTTTGTCACGTTTCAAAAGATTCAATAGATAGAAGTCACATAAACTTCAAAAAGCACTTAAAATAACTTTTTGTTACGTATTTCTGTTAACGAATTTGTTTTTCACGATGTAATGATTTCTGTAATATTTCTGTCTTCATTTATAAATGGTTTAGAATTTCTAAACATTTTATTTTTGAATACACTGAGATTTCAATTCATTGATATGTTTGAAAACTTTCACGACAGCTATTTTATGAAGGCGTACAAATTGAAGTCTGCAACATTCTGCGCAATTCCAGAACCAAAGCATTTCAATTTAAAGTTAGGCCTCACTATGACAGTACAGTTTCAAGCACCTTTTCAATTAGGAAATTCAGTACTTCGCAAAAATATGAAATTCTTTTCTCACAATCGAATCGAGATGAGTTGCCGAGGTGTTCCGAGTGGCGCCGAGCTCGTACGAATAGCTCACCTTTGGAAAATATTGCCCAATCGGGAATCAGTGCGCGTTGGTGCTTGGACGCGGGCGGTCGTCGCGCTCCGCAGCCCAAATGCACGTGCGTGCGGGATCACACATTAATCGACTATTAATTATTATTGTGCTACAGTGACATTAATTGCACTTGTTGATCGGTGGTCGCGTTTGTGATTTTTTGCGTCCGACTAAAAGTGCTCCGTGGAGTTTGTATGTAGAAATTTTGATGAAGGTTTTTTAATGAGCTATTTTGAAAACAATCGGGCGTTTGCTGATAGTATACCGATGCGATCTTATCTTTTGCTGCAGAATATTACGTTATTTTTTAATTAAGACGTTAATCACAGGTAATTTTGGGCTGTTAGTAGTACATACCTAAGTAAGTTTAATTGATTTTACTGAATAAAATACGAGTATAACCATAGGAATTTTCGTTTATTTTGCATAGATGCTATAAAAAGCTTTAACAGCTTATAAATTTTTTATGATTATTCTGATTAATAAGACCAATATTTTCTACGTCAAATTACTTAAAAATATAAAAGTTTGCCATACCTAAGACTATAATATCGTACTGTAATTTACATCTCCGTGTCATTAAAATGTAGAGAGCTTTTTTCCTATGCCATTATCTTGAAAAATCTGGAAAATGTATTTCCTGTATCATAAATTCCAAGGAAAATCCTTTAATAATGTTGTTAGTAATATACAGTAACATGTGGCTGTAGGTCAGGCAGTTAACCATTGCATTTATAACAGTAACAACAATACTCGTAATACTCAAACAAATAACTGGCTTTCAGGCTATCAGTGTGCTTACCATGAGTTTACGTTAGTGTGCTCGCTAGCAACTGTGTAAAAAAATGACATTCATTGTATGACATATTGTGCAGCGCCCCTAGCGGCTACTTTCAAGAAACAAAATCTTCATAGAGATTTTTGACGTACTCGCTAGCGAGCACACCTAACGTAAACTCATGGTAGGTACACAGGCTATCATTTGATTTTTGGTATTTCATATATCAACCAAAAATGTCAGTCCATTCATCTGACCGTAATGGTAATCAAAATGTAGGTTTAGTAATAATATTCACAACTAAAATTAAGCTTTTTATGTATCGTAAATAAGCACGAAATACGCTCACGGAAGCTTTAAAGCCACGTTATCGCGAACATCCTACTAAAATGTGATTATCATACACAATACGACAGCCTATAAACGAAATTTGTTGAATAAGGAATACCTCTATTATATTCCTTCGCTCTTTATCGTAATAAAATGTATTGACGTGTCAATTTTCCTTTTCGTAGACTAGACAAGAATACTGATATTCAGCTAAAAGGAAATAGGCTAATGTTGGGCAAACCAGACGAGGTCAAGTACTTGGTAAATTTTGGGCTAGGTAGAAAGATAGGCCGCATTCTAGCATATCGGCTGAACCATTTAAGAACCTAGTAAGGGACACTTTTTCAGATTTTCGTTTTTTGTCATAAATCACCTTAGAATTAAGGTCTCCACAGGATGTGAAGACAGAAATCGCTCTATTACACTTAACACCGGAGAAACGCGTTGCTAAAAACCTAGTAAGTGCAATTCAAATCTGCAAAAACCATTATCAAAACCTAGCAAGTTACAATGACCATTTAAAACCTAGTAAGTGCATGAACTTACTAGGTTTCAAAATGGTCAATGTGACTTACTATAGGTAAAATGCTACTGTAATTGAAATATTATTTCGAGTTCTGTTGGCTGACACTCGATAACCATATCAAAATCTGGGGACTACATGAGTACTGATTCATATTCGATTTTTATTTTGATTTTTACGAGGCACTTTTGTCAAAAAAATAATTTTTAGTGTTAGTAAAGAGCATAAAACTTGCAATTTTTAACGAAATATATTCTTTTATTCCATAAAGTATACTTTAGTAACTAATCTTTAATATAAACATCGGAAGTTATCCAAATCTTTAAGCATCTTAGCAGGGCAAATGAAAATGCGTTTTTTCGCTCTCCTGTAAAATTTGCTCCGCTGCACTTACTAGGTTCTTAAATGGTTCAGCCGATATGAGGCAACGTTTTTGCTTTCAATGCAATGTTTGGACTAGTTTTTCGACATAGCGCTAATGATAGCATGTCTAAATTAAAGAAATGCAATCAAAATGTAAGTAATTGTTATGGTTTTGGAACATTGCAAACCATAAATAAATTATTAAAAATTTATCTGAGCCACATAAGTAGACCAAAAGTTATGTTAGTGAAATGCTACAAAATAAGTTACTCAATAGAAACGTTTTACCAATTCACTAGCTCTGCCTCGCGGTGTTACCTGCGATAAAACGTAGCCTATGTGTTAGTCCAGGATGTCAGCTAACTCCATACTAAATTTTATTAAAATCGCTCCAGCCGTTTAGATGTGAAGAAGTAACAAACATACATACTCACAAACTTTCGCCTTTACTCGTATAATATTAGTGTGATGACTTTATTGGCTTACGCCTGTATTCACAAACATTACTATGAGGTCTCACAGTGTGCGTATACGCACAGGGTGACACACGAACCAAAAACAGTGTGCTTACCATGAGTTTACGTTAGGTGTGCTCGCTAGCGAGTACGTCAAAAAAATATATTTTATAAAGATTTTAGTCCTTGAAAGTCCGCTGTACAATCTGTCATACATTTAATGTCATTTTTTACGCAGTCACTAGCGACTAGCGAGCACACACGTAACGTACTCATGGTAAGCACACAGAGCTCTATTCACCGCTGTGCGTTTGATTCGCTGCTTCACTTAAGCAAGAATTGTTTGTCAATACGGGCGTTAGTCTCTAAATTTCAAGAGTTACATTATTCAGACTTAAGGTTTCAGGTGGAAGATATCTGAAAATATATTACACGTAACAGCTGTTATATAATTTGAAACCATTCTTGTCGCAGTAGGGTAAAACAGTAAAGTACAAATTACCTAGTGTTACCTAAAAGCTCTAATTCAACCTAATTTCGGTCGGTTATTTGAAGGATTCCGTAGAGCCGGCGTTTGCTTTAATATTAAAACTTGTAATTACCCTGCAAGATAATCCTATGGTATTATATTATTACACGTAATACGAAATGCCAAGGTAAACAAAACATGCCATAGTTTAAATTACGTGGATATTATAATGACATGTTTAAAGCTAAATGTTTTTGTCGAGCGTTTTATATCAATCAAAACAATTAGGTATTTTTCCACTCTCTCACACATATTTCTTCAGAATGAGAGAGGTGCTTAATTTATTTTGTTCATTACATTTTAAATTCATTTTTTTACTAGTTAATATTATGACAATTAGTTTTTATCACTTATTGAAAAAAATATTACATTAGAATTTAGAATTTGAATGCAATTCTTATTTCTTTTGAAAAATAAAGGAATGTTTTCTTTGAGAAAAAAATTCTATCTACAATATTAAGAGTACTTTCCCTCCAGGTGGCATTACAAAATTCCACCCTGTATATTGGGTTGTAGCAAAATCGCACGAATAACCACTATAAGTGCTTGATATGCCATCTTTTGTACTTAAAAAGTCGATAAGGTGGGTTTTATATCACCGAATTCCAGCTAATGGCTGTATAACAGTCTAGCAGATTTGTATAAAAGTAACGACCTCTATTTACACTTGCCCTCTACGTTTGAGCTTCTTTTGTTAATTTTGGACTTAGCCCCACAGTAATATGCCCCAGTTTTGTACTTAGAAAGACAAATTACAACATTTTGTAACAACTGTTACTGTTTAACGAACATTAAGTATTCTAAGTCCTTCAATGTCGGCCTACTTCGTTAAAAAATCTTTCCTAGAAACACTTCAGACTTTGAAATATCTGAAACTCCACTAAGCGTTTCGTTTAAGCTTAGTTTGGATCAATTAAATATAATTGTACATGTAATTTTGATTAAAATCTGAATCCACATAACTCAGTCTTTCAGATAAATTCGTATTTTGTTGATGATTAATATTAGGTACCTACTAGCTTTTGCCCGCGGTGTTGCTTGTGTAGACTTAGGTCTAAAATTCTGATTAATCCCGCAGGTTTTATGTTTTAGCAAAAGCTTGCAAATATACATTTACTATTTTACCTATGAAACATGGATAATTATAAGTTGTAATTTTAATGCCCCTTTTAAAAAACGTGTAGGAGTTTTTTCTAAAGGAGGTGGCACATAAACATTAGCTTCACTATAATAGAGGTACCTAAATAGTATCCTTAGAACAGAATTGCTGAGTCCAGCCTCTCTGATGCCTATGCAAATATTCAACAATGCTAACTCAGCACCCTAGGTGTGAAGCAAACCTAAGCGTACAGACAAAAATATTTGTTTAAGTACAATATTTAGTCAAAACAACGTCAAAATAAAGTCAAAACACATAACCTAACATGTTAAATTAACCTTAATAACCGTTAAGAACCGCAGCAGCAGGCAGCGCAGGACCGTGCATTGCGGAAAACCTTGGAGGAGGCCTTTGTCCAGCAGTGGAGGTCATTTGGCTGAAACGAACGAACGAACGAATGAACCGTTAAGAAATATGAATCCGCTTTCAGAATAGAGGATAGAGCATTAAGCCTATGAGCAGACCACCGCTTTTTAGTCGGCCTATAGTTGGGCCTGATTCTAATTTGTATGAAGAATCAATCGGTGTAATGTGCGCACTTCCATACATGCCCATACTGATTAACTGCCCGACCAAACTATTGGCCGAAAAAATATCGGTGGTCTGCGCTTAGGCTAAGTTGTCGAGTGTCGGTCCCAGTCATTGCCTCGGGTAGTTTCGGACTTTGAGCCTTGTCAAATGTCTAGCCAGCCAGCCAGCTCATAGAGTCTGACACCGGCTTTCACAACTCACACGATTAGAAATAAGTGTACGCGTGTTTTCCATATTAAATTCCAATTAGATACTCTTGAGAATCATAACCTAGCTTTAAAGGTCAAATATATAGGTAATTATTTATTGATTTATGCAAGTAGGCAAAGATCACTTTTACACCCTACCACTGCTTCGGGAATGTAGGACCAGTGATGCGAAGAAACAGCGCAAGAAACTCATTCACTATCTAATAACTAAAGCTAGAGAGCAGTTTTTAATTTCAAATTGTAATTAAATAATCGTTTCAGTGGTTGTTTTCATCAAAAACACGCGTGTTAAAACACTTGACTGCAGCAAAAAGC